CAAAGGGACTGAGGGTTGAGACAAGTGGTGGTGATGGTCCTGAGCTGCTTTCGAAGGTTCTTCGGTGGGGTTGAAAAGTAGAGGAGGTAGATCTCACTGCTGAGTTGTGCGGCTATTCAAAGGTATGGTGTTTAGGATCCCACAGACAGCTCTCAAGTAGAGTGAGTGGGTGGAATAGGAAACAACTTATTCATAATTTTGCAAGGAAAGACTGTGATTTCCAGAGGACTTTAGTGAACACAGATGTCCCAAGGCATCCACGACCATCTGGCTCGGTTTTCCCTGGTCTGTAGGTTCATATAGCTCAGTGTTTGTGCATAAGCGAAGGATTCCGTCACATTCTCAAAGTATTTGTCAGTCCCCAGAAATTCAGCAGTTAATCATCAGAAAGCTCATTATGAAAAGCCACCAATATGTCACCCAGTTCTCTGCCTACCTCTAATTGCCTTCTCTCTCTTTCCTTCCGCAGCATGGGGTGATCGTTGCAGATGAGGAGGAATATTTCATTGAACCGCTGAGCCCAGGAGCCAACGTCAGCACAGGGAGCGAGGGCAAAGGCAGCCCCCACGTCGTGTACAAGCGATCGTCTCTCCAGTACCCACACATGGATGCAGCCTGCGGCGTGCTAGGTATCTGTACCCACCAACACATCCTCGATCCATCCTGGTGCAGGCTGGGAAAGCCCCGGTAGAACAGGATTTGAAGGTCCGCACTGCCCTGTATGGCAAAGAAGCAAATTTATCTCTGGCATTTAAGATAGTTTTCTGTATTTACTTTTACCCATGTTAAGGACTTCTGGTGGCCTGGTCTCTGGAAAGCTCTTGTACTCTCTTCTTTGCAGCAGGACTTTTAAATTGTAAATAGAGCATGGAATAGAAGAAAAAAAAATGCTTTTTGTTATTCTTAAGAAAATCCTCCCAGATTTGGCTAGTTTACAAGGTATTGAGAAATTGTAGCTTATGCACACTCAGCAGAGGCTTGTCTTTGGGTTTTAGTCACTGAAGATTGTGTCCACGCTGAGCTACATCTGCTGCTGTTAGAGACTGGGTGGAAAGATGCCTTGTAGGGTGGTGTATGGGATCTGGTTAACCACAGTGGGCTCTGGGAGACGTTGATGCACAATGGCAATTGCACATCTACCGTATTTCTACACTTAAAGGCCTTTGACTTCCTAAAGGACTCACACAGACCTGCCCTGGCCTCTCCCCACACACCTGTGACCTTCTCATCCTTGCTAGCAGTTGTTCTGTGTCCTAGAGCCTCGTTGAAATCCCCGGCCCTTGTGAATGTGCAAAATTTCTCCATCTGCCCGAAATGTTGCATGGACACAGGATGCTGCTCCCACAGTTTACAGAGGCTTCCCCTGGCTCCGTAAGGATGAGGGGAGATGCCATGCCTGCAGAGGGGCCGGCTCGCATTTTATGGATTAGAGTGCGTGGATGCAGAAGCAGAGCTGTTCCCAGTTGCTCGTGGCAGGTTTGTGTGTCACTTCAGGATGTTCATCCAGTACTCTGGTGGTGACATTTGACTGGATAAGGAGTCACTGCTGGAAGGGATGGAGCCTCTAGAGGCACTGGGGCACTGCTAGCCTGCTCTGAGCAGGTCTGGGTGTCCCCAGACCTGACAGCATCTCTGGAGACAACCTGTGCTTCTCTGGCCTGGCTCCTCCTGTCCCCGCTC